AGAGCTAATGTTGAAGTTTGGATTCAGAAGCTGTTTGCTGTCAGCATTTCCCCTTCTTGGTGAGGACCAGAGAGATAGTACAGCAGATAAAGTGCTTGCCTTGCACATGACTGACTGGGGTACGGTCCCCAGCATCTCATATGGTCTCCTGAGCCCACCTAGAATGATTCCTGAGTGCAGGAGCCAGGAGTAACCCCTGAGCATTGCCAGTTGTGGCCCAAAAGCAAAAGCAAAACAAAACTTTAGTTGAGGAGCTGGAGAGATAGTACAGTGGACAGGGCACTTGTCTCACATCCAGCTGAACTGGGTTTAATCCCCTGCATAACATATGGTTCCTCGAACCCCACCAAAAGTGCAGAGCGAGGTGTAAGCCCAAAGCACCACTTGATGTGGTTCAGTCCCTTCCATCAAATTATCTTTACTTGAATGAATAAGGCCCACTTGAGCAATATGAGTGATAATTTTCTGTACTTAGAATCTACTGATTTAAATATTCCCACTCAAAAATCAACTTCCTGGGAACAGAATGTTTAACTAGAAATCTCAGTACCTGTCTTACCAGCAAGACCCAGTTTATCAGTCATTGCACAGAGAACTGGTCACTGACAATGAGGAAAGTTTTGTTTTGGGATGTATCACCTTAGGAGAACAGCAGCACCATTAGCCGAAAAGGAAGAAATTGTTTAAAAAGTCATGTCTGAGTGTATGGCACAAGGCTTTTTTTAAGGTCTGTGAAGATCACTGAGTAAGAGGTCCAGGTGTTCTTTATAAAATGTCGTTTACATCAGCTTGATTGATGGACTTATTATGGTTTACTTAAGTCACTTGTGTACAGCTGGATCCTCATGTTATTGACTCTAGATTCTGGAAACCAAATCTTGGAAATAAAGATCGCATGTCAGAACAGCTGGTATCAGTGAAAAATGATTCATCTAAGGATTGTGCTCAGTGAAAGGTTAGCCAAATTAGGAGGAAATAATGTGGCTTTCTCTCAGTTAAAGCCAGAGACAAATAGCTCTGGAAATGCCAAGCACTTTCAGAAACTGGTTTCCTTACCATATGGCCGAGACAAAGAAACACATAAGGTTAAACATGATGGGCCACTGACACTTGCCTTGTGTATAACGGATCTTCATTCAGACCCTGGCGCTGAATATGATCCCCTGAGTACTACCAGGAGTGATCCCTGAATAGAGCTAGGAATAAGCTCTGAGTACTACCAGCTGTGACCCTCCCCCCACCCACCAAATAAAACCCCTCCACACATATACACAAAGATTAAAGACAAGAGGTGGACAGTTGTGGTGATGATTAATCATTGATGGCTCTGATCTCCTGTGGAAATTTACTGCAAGAGGAGGGGACACTGATAAAACTGTCCTGTGTATCTCTGATTTCACTAATGGCAGTATTTCAAAAGCACTGCCAAGGCAGGGCTTATTCATTAAAACATGTACCAAGAATAATAAGGATGGAGAGGACCCAGCAATGGCTGTGACCTGTTCTTTTCTCATTGCTGAGAAAAATCTTTAGCAAACTGTTACATGTACTCAGATGGGCTGTTAGTGCACAACTCTCTATCTGAGATCCTATAGGTGAGAATATATGTAATACATTTATTTAAGATAAATTCAGTCTAGTGGAAAAGACATGGGAAGTAACTAATGATGTCCTTAGGACTAATGATATCCTTCTCTTTCCCCACTCTTGGGGAAAATGAGGTTTAGCCACTAATGAGTGTTATTAGCACTAAAAATGAAAAGATTTTCCCTTTCTCTCCTTCCTTTGGTGCTTCTGAGCACCTATGCTGCCTGCTTTTGTGTATTGATTGCCTCCTTATGAAAAAACCCACTTTCTTTGGTGTTCCTGCCTTCTTTTTAGATGGTAATTGGGAGATTGAGTCAAACCCTAATGGCAGAACCCCTTAGTCTGAGTTAGGATGGAGGAGTTGAAAGTTCATTTCTGGCTTGTTAAAACCCTTTGTTAGAAGTGGTTAGCTGTTTTGTATATTTTAAGATACACTTGAGTTTGTAATTGATAAATGGCTCTTGTGTTTTAGAAGAAGGCAACACAGCAGAAGGATGTGGCAGTGCATTATGTTATGGAAATAACTGAATGAAAAATTTATTTCCTGGGACACCTATTTTTATTTGCAGTGGTATGGTTCCATGTATATAACATTTATCAGAAAGGAAAGATCAATAATGTAGGAATAAAGAGAAGATAAAGCTTTAAATGGAATTAATAATAATTGAGGAAAAATAGTCATTCCAAAGATTTCTCCAAGGAGACTGACAGATTAGGTCCATTTTCCTGGTGCTTTTTTACTGTGATTCGAGAATGCTGCTGGAGAACTGTGGGAGCAGAGTCTTGGAAAACCACTCAAACTCCCTGGGTTTTATGAATGGATCAGCTGGGATACCTGTGATAGCAGGATGATTTAAATTCAAAATCCAAAAGTAAGCTTCTTTGGAAAGTTCCAATTCTAAAAGATTTTGGTTTGCAATATTTTTAAAGTATTCTATTAAAATCTGGGTTTTTTTTTATTGACTCATCATTGGATTTTATAGGATATAGCTTCATACCCCGTAGGTGTATAAGTCAGTACTCCCAGTCCCAGTGTTCCGGTGCCATCTGCCACTATAAGGGCCCTTCTGTTTATCCCTTCCAGCCCCACCCTGTCCCTCTGGTGACTACTAAAATTTGAGACATATAGTTTTTTAAGGCCATTTTTATTGAGGTGCTGTAATTTTCAAGGTTAATATTACTTTTGTTAAAACTAATTTTCATCACACTCATCACCAAAGTGCCAAATTCCCTCCATCAGTGTTCCAAGGGCTCTTCCCAGCCATTCCCCATTTCTATGAAAGCTTAATTCTATGGAGAAAATCTCCAGTTCTGATCCTTTGACCATTTGTTATTCCCTTACTATGAGGCATATATAGTATTAGTGTTCACATATAGTATTAGGAGAACTTATATAATTCTCACATATGTAACTAATATAAATATATTATGTGAATTGGTATAATTTAATGGTTACACAGTATTAATGGACTGATCCATTTTGTGTTAGTGAGAAGTAGTTGGCTTTAAAGTGTTTTATTTCTTCAAATCTCCTTCTAATTTCAAATTCTTTTACATATGTACTAATGGGTAGTATATTTTTCTCTAACAAAATGTAGTGAGTGATACTTTTTTAAAAAATTAAAAGTATAATTGAACTTGAATCTGTGTCCGTCAAAGCATAACTGATGTGTTCACCAAGTCATAATTCATCAAAACTTCCCATCTTATTCTAATTGTAAAGCATGGCTGCACAGTATAATCACCTGGAAAGCTATTTTGAAAAAATATCTTAATTTCTCATTTAGCATCTAATGAATAAGTATTTAAAAAATTCCTCAGAGAATTATACTATGTAGGTTTGATGACTGCTGATCTCAGTTCAGTAGAAATAAGGTGTGTAAATCTAGTGGACTTGACATGTAAGAGTTTATATTATAAAATGAAATTTCTTGGGAAAGAAATTAAGGCACTTACTTTGCATGCAGTTAATCCTATTTTGATCCCTTGTATCATATATGGTCCCCTTAGCCTATCCAGGAGTGATCCCTGAGCACTCCGAGTGTGGCTCAAAAAATTAAAGCAAAAACAAAATGTCATTTCCCTGCTCAACACTCCCTCCTGGTCCTCATACTCATTCTAGTACAGTTAAAGGTGGCAGTCCTTTTCTACCTTCCTAAAAGAGGCAAGAAGATAAATATTTAACAATCTGGTGACATATGTTTTATGACATCTGTTGCTTTCTGGTGCTGAAAATACTCCCTGTGTGGTCATTTCCACAGTACAGATATTCTTGGGTAGTATAGTGGTAACTGAATGTGGAGTGAGGAAGAGTGGTATATAGTCAGCTCTCATGGGCCAGAATAAGCCAGCTCCAGGCTCCAATGCTGACTTTGCTGTTTCACAGTTAAATCATTCTCAATGGCAGTACGGGTTTCAAGACACCTAGACAAATACTACTCTGCTTTTATGATGAACTGGCTTACATAGTGTTTTGCTTATGTGCCATAACACCTTCACTCACTTAAAGTGTCTGGGTAACCTTTGAAAACACTAAGGCAATGTTCCTTAGGCTGAGAAATCGGCCATCCAGTTTAAACTTGAGCCTGTGAACCTGTTTTCCTAGGTAAGGTGTTTTCCTAGGTAAGGCTCCGGATAGGTTGACAGATAAATGAGGTTTGTGAATCTGTTGATCTGAGGGCCAGGTTCTGAGTCAGGATAAATTCAGGGAGGTAGTAGCAGCTCCTGGGACACAATGTGCCTCCTTCTCAGGCTGAACAGATTTCTATCACAGTGCAGCGACATCTCCATTAGGAAGCACTTTCATGTGACCTTTCTCACAGAACCACTGTGGTATACATGAGAAGATCAATCACTTAACATTCACTGGTTCTTGAAAACTCTCAGTGAAATAATGTATAAAGAATGCAGGTCCTTGAATAATGTCATTCAGTTCTGTATCATGATGATTAATTTTTTCTCATCAACATAATGAAATGACATTGAACTGAACAACATTATTTAAGGACCTGCTATACTCTCTTCCATCTGCCAATGATAAATTCTGCTGAATTGTAGCAAGATTAAGTTGCCTCTTATCCCAGTTTGAGTCACTTGGCCAAACTAGTAAGTGATGGAGCCAGGATTTGAACTTGGAGTTTCTGATCCCAAGTTTAATGCTCTCCTAACATGCAGTCTGTTAGCCATCTTCACTTGTGGATGAGGCTTGTCAGCTTCTGTGGAGGACAAAGGGAGATGAAAAGTACAAGATTCCTGCCATCAGTTTTGTGAACTTTCTTTGTTGGTCCTAAAGCAGGCAAGTATGCTTCCTGAAATGTGTGTGGTCTAACAGAGCACAGATTGATAAATATCAAGGTGGGGTTGGAACCAGGGTGGTCTGTGTAACACTGATGATTGATCTGTTCCAAAAATAGAATAAAGAATTGTCTCCATAGATAGCCAGTCAAATATGGAGGACACCTGGGACTCAACGAAATGGCTAAAGAAATATGGCCTGAAAGCCCAAAAGCTGTCATTCTATGATGTTCTTGCTGACTGCTCCTTCCGCCATGCTGATGGAATTGTTGATATAAAAATTAAACCAGACAATGAATCCCTGTGCACCAGTGCGGTAAGTGACTGAACTCCCCAGCAGTGCCTATATTGTCCCTCCATCCCCTGGCTTCCCTCAGATTGAAGCCAAGAACAGAACCCAGGATGAAAGAGCATGAAAGGAGGCTAGTGAGGTTTCCACGAATAAAGATATTTCTACTTCTCATCCTTATATTCCCCAAATGGGGCTGGAGGCATTGGGGTCAAGTCTTCACTTGGTTTCTAAGTACAACTGAATTTTGCAATAATTACACAGAACCAGGTACTGGGGTTGTAGAAATTGGGGTATCAAAAATCTCAGACTTAGTTCAGATTATGTCCAAAGTGATGCCCCTTGCTGAAACAAACTATTGGTGAATATGACCAGTGCAAACATTTCTGCTGTGCTCTTGTATTATCATCTTAAAATACATTAATCTAGTTATTACAGGTGGAATATAGTAAATATAAAATCAGATCCTCTAAGCACTAAAAGGATAGGTATTGAAAAAGCTATCGTTCCATTAGTGCCAATGATTCTGAGAGAAATATAGCATCTCAAATCCCAGCTCTGCCTCACAGTAGAAGGATTATAATTTATAATAGAAGTCCCCCAGCTTCAGCATGCATGACTTAGTGGGCCTGGGACTGAGTCTCCTGGACAGAGTTTTGAGGGTTTTTGTTGTTGTTGTTTTAATTGAATCATGGTGAGGTACACAAAGCTTTGTATTTACAATGGTCCTCATGATGCTGAAGCTGCTGATCTGGGGCTGCACTGTGAGAAACACCGATGTGTAGAACAGATCACAAGTTTAGAATTTTAGAAAGACTGCAAAGTGTCTCAGGAAGAAACAGAATCAGTATACTGACAATTCTAAGTATGCAAACGCAAAGGTACACTTTTTTGGAAAAGCAGCATCAGCTCAGGTACCCACTGTGAAGTGAAAGTGAAAATGTGCAGGACAGAGGAGATGGATCTGGAAAAGTGAGTTTTTATAGGAAACAAAGAGTGAATGCAAATGCATTATCACTTCATATATTCTCAAAGGTGTCTACTGAAGTCCAGCTCATAAGTGAGATGTATGTTTGTGGCTGCCACGAGTGAAACCCCATTCTCTCATTTATTTCTTATGCAGTTGGTTAGACCCTACACAAATGTGTGTGTTTGTGGTTTTCTTTTGTGTGTGTGTGTGTAAGGGCTTTTTCTTGTAAAGATACCTTACCCAGGAGATGCTGTTTTTGCTCTCTTAAATCTGTGTTTACAATGAGGACTAGACATGAGGGAAATTGAAAAGTTAAATTAGAAAAATGCAGAATTAACTCAGGACTTACCTTCTGGCTTATATCCTAATATACGAAGTAATTGTCCCAGCACAGGGGAAATCTCATTTGTGTATTTCCTCCCCTAGCACAGTTTTCTGGTTTTGTAGCCATTATCCAGTAATGTTGTTAGTTCAGGAAATTATTGATTCAGGAGATAACTATATTTTTGTTTTAAGTACATTAGACACTGGGTACTTAGAAATGTTAATTCCTTTCCATTTGGACATAGCTAACTGCTAGCAAGTGACAGTGTGACCCACACAGGTGCAGTTCTGGTTCTGGCATTTCATTATTCATCTGATCATTTGAAACAGGATTTTGCAGGGCCAACTTGAAATTTTTTGCTTTCAAGTGGAGAATTCTACCTCAGATCTCTTATTTAATACCTCATGCATACCAGTGACTTTCACTACTTGGATCTCCAACCTTGAGTCCTTCATTGATCTTCACCTAGGTGCCTACGTGTTACTGGGATGTCTAGTAGACATCTGAAACCTAAAGCTTCAGGTGCTCCACCCTGACCTTTCCTTTCAATGTTGCTCTCTTAAAACTCCATTTTTTATTAGTTTTCTTTCCCAAAACTTAAGTCATTCCCAAATTCTCTCTTTTCTCCATACTCCCACCCTCATTACACCCACTGTTTTATCATTGTACTCATTCAGTAGTTAAGAATCTGCTCATGTATTGCCCTTTCTGCAACTGTTCCTACTCTTTGCAACCTGACCTTCAAGTCTTTGATTCTGACCTTGACAGTTTATTCCCAATAGAACAACCAGTTATCCTTGAGAAAACATAGTTTTAGAAATGAAACCTTAAAACTTAAAACTATGAATTGTGTCACTTCTCCAAGAGTAGATCTTAAAAAGTTCCCAACAGGCAAGAAATGTCTAATGTAGTAAAGGGATATTAACAGAACATATTGGGGTATCATTTCACAATAGATACAAATACAGAAGTCATTGGACTGCACTTCTAAAATAATATGTCATATGTCAGTTATACCTCAGTTTACAAAATGGTGTCAGAACTGCTCCAAGGATAAGTCTTTCCACAGAGAGCTTTCATAAGTCCTGTCACTTATTTCTGAATTCTTCATGTATTACTCTCTCATGTTTAAGGTGTTGGAAAGTCCCCTTTTCACTCAGAGGAGAAGCCAGACTCATTTCCTTCTTCTAGCCAGCTTTACAGGATCTGCTTCCCGCTCTTCTGTCACACTGTAGCATCTCACTCTTTACTCACTGTTTCAGATAAAGGCCCTCCCGTTGATCGTCGATTTGCTTGAGCGGGCCCAGTAACGTCTCCATTGGAGACCTTGTTGTTACTGTGTCTGGCATATCGAATACTCTTGGTAGCTTGCCGGGCTCTCCAAGAGGGGCGGAGGAATCGAACTCGGGTCGGCCATGTTGGCCGCGTGTAAGGCAAACGCCCTACCGCTGTGCTATCACTAAAGTTACCACAAAATTCTACAGAGATGCTTTTACTTCAGGACTTTCTTACTGTCCACATTCTCTGTTGCCAAATTTTCCTCAGTCTTGCTCAGGTTTAAATTTATTTTTGAGGCTCTTCAATGCCTGGCAGAGAATAATACTTGAAGAATTTAGTAATCAGTGACAGAAGTCATGAAAGCTCTCTGTGGGAAGACTTATCCTTGGACCAGCTCTGAGTGTCCCGGTAGAGGGCACTGGATGTGGAATGGAGTTCTTGCAACTTTTCTCATTTGTGGTTGGGAATAACAATGAAAAAATGCTTCCTGTGAGTCTCAAGTTCTATATCCTCTAGATGGTCTCTTGGCTCTATAATCCATTGTGAACTCATTCTTAGCATAATTTTTGCCTATACATTATAATCTCAACTCAGCACTATTGTCGAGTACTCTGCATCACAACTGTTGGCGGGGGGGGGGGGTGGGGAGGGAGAGAAAGAGAGAGACAGTGTCAGGGACAGAGAGGGACAGAAAGGAGAAAGAAGGAAGAGAGTCTTCCTGCAGGAAACATTGGCTTCTCTAAAGCATAGACGGCATTGCACATGTCTTTCTGACCACTAATATGGTACATGTTTGATTAAATGAGTGATTGAAAGGTTTTTTTTTTATCATGACAATTAATACTAAGAGCTCTTCAAGTAAGACAAAGAGTAGTCTGGAGACCTTTTCTCTCTGGACACTTTCTAACTGTATTCTTTCCTTTATCTTTCCTTAGGAGACCAACAAGAAGATAGTCCATGCAAAATACTGCAGTAAATTTGTCCATGCTCCCTGGAAAGATGGGAGCTTGGTCCACGTGTGCATAACCAAGGAAAAGTGCACATTGTACACAGAGAGAATTCATGCAGTTCTCACCCAGATCCAGAGGAGGTTGGTGTATTTATGAGGGTAAACAGTCTAGTTGTGACTGAAATTCCATAGAAATTTAGTTCTGCTTGACTTCTTGGTAAAAACTCATCCAAAAGAAAAATGGGCAATAAATATTAAGTCAAGGTTGCTAGCTGATATTTTGTTAGTGGCTTTGTCGTTAATAATAATGGAGGATGTTTGGATTTAGAGTCTAAGCTGCCTCCTTGCCAGTTGTAGGAGTGATAACGCTGGTTGCACATCATAAGTCCAGCTGACTAGAGAACATTTCCATCCACGACTTGCATTTTTGTAGGACACAAAAATCAGATTTTCCTCTAAAGTCATGTTGTAAATTATATGAATACAATGAAATCTTGTGTGTGTGTGTGTGTGTGTGTAATTAACTAAATAGAACTTTGTGATCCCTTTGAATACTGCTGGTTCTTAAAATCTTGTAATGCTTGTGAGCTTAGTGTATGACTTCTGCAACATCATACCCAGGAGGATGATCAGGGAAGTTTTCACCTCCCTGAGGTTACTAAACTGCTTTTAACCAGGAAGATCAAATCCATTTACGCACAGCAGCTCAGAGGTAAGATAAAACTGGATTCTAATCCCCACTTTGTCACTTGCAATGACAATTAGTTCATGTCTTTGTGCAACAGTTTCCTCCTTTATAAGGTGGAAATAGTGATGTCATTAACCAAATTGTTCTGTGGGCTCTATGAGATAGTAAATCTAGTGAGTTTTGTTTGCTACCCACTCTTCAGTAGCCTCTTGAAAAAGAGAGTTCTGTCCAAGTTTTCTGGTACAAAGTCACAGACTGCAGCTGCCTGTCTCCCACTGCATTTACCCTCAGATCTCCCTGTTTCTCAAGGCCCAGTTGTTCATGGGTTAAGCAGAAATAGTAGTTATTGTGCCTGACTTTTTTTTTTGCCTATTGAGAGAGGATTAGACTTCAGGGGTGGGAAAGGGGCTGCTGCCTGTTCTCTCCCTTCCTTTCACCAGGTAAAAGTGCTGTTGACACGTTTCCTCTCTATTTTCTGCAAGATTGCCAACATATGGCATCAAAGTTCACTTCTTGAAGCTAACTTGGCCTGGAGTTTTCCTTTGTAGGAAGTGTTTTTAAAAAATCTTTTTAGTAAAATACAATGATTTACGAAGTTGTTCATAATAGAATTGTTTCAGGCATTCAGTGTTCCAGCACCAATCCTACCAACAATGTCCCCAGGTTCCCTAGCCGCCCCCTTGGGAGGCATGTAACACATTTATTTCATGTTACTTGTTCCAATAAAACTTGATGGAATGGCAAATAAAACAAGAAAACAAATCAATAAAAATCAATTTGTGATGATTAATTGCCATGTTTTAAATTTTCTAAATCTAGTATTGGAAAGTTTCTGTTATCCTTTAAAGGAACTTTTTTTTTTTGGCTTTTTGGGTCACACTCAACAGTGCTCAGGGGTTGCTCCTGGCTCTGAATTCAGGAATCTCTCCTGGCAGTGCTTGGGGAACCATATGGGATGCCGGGGATCAGTTGCAAGCAAGACAAATGCCCTACCCGTTGTACTATTGTTCTAGCCCTAAAGGAACTTTTTTTTTCTTTTTATTAGTGAGATACCATGAGGTACAGTTGTAGACTTACAAATTTTTGTGCTTGGGTTTCAGTTATACAATGATGATATACCCATCCTTCCACCAGTGCCCATTTCCCACCACCATGGATCCCAGTATCCCTCCCACCTCCCATCCCCCCCCCCATCCCACCCTGCCTCTGTGGCAGGGCATTCTCTTTCGTTTTCTCTCTCTTATTGGGTGTTGTGGTTTGCAAAAGAGGCAATGGGTGACAATCATGTTTGGTCTATAGTCTACTTTCAGCATACTTCTCCCATCCTGGGAGGATCCTCCCAACACCCTTTATTTGGTTCTCCCTTCTCTATCTGAGCTGCCTTTTCTCCTAGCATGTGTGGCTGGCCTCCAAGCCATGGAGTAAAATTCCTGGTACTAATCTCGGCCATTCTTGGATGTTAGTCTCCTATTTTGTTACTTTATGTTCCCCAGATGAATGCAATCTTTCTATGTCTGTCCCTTTCTTTCTGAGTCATTTCGCTTAACATGATACCTTCCATGTAGTACCACTTGTATGTAAATTTCGTGACTTCGTCTTTTCTAACAGCTACATAGTACTCCATTGTGTAAATGTACCAAAGTTTCTTTAACCAGTCATCTGTTCTTGGGCACTCAGGTTTTTTCCAGATTCTGGCTATTGTAAAGAGTGCTGCAATGAACAAACAATTGCAGATGTCACTTCGACTATCCTTTTTTGCCTCTCTGGGATATATTCCCAGGAGTGGTCAAATGGGAGCTCAATTTCTAATTTTTAAAGACTCATCCATTCTGTTTTCCAAAAGGGCTGAACCAGTCGGCATTCCCACCAGCAGTGAAGAAGGGTCCCTTTCTCTCCACATCCGCACCAGCACCGGTTGCTTTTGTTCTTGTGGTGCCAGTCTCTGTGGTGTGAAATGATATCTCATTGTGGTTTTGATCTGCATCTCCCTGATGATTAATGATGTGGAGAATTTTTCTCATGTGCATTTTAGCCATTCGGATTTCTTCTTTGTGAAAGTTTCTATTCATTTCATCTCCCCATTTTTTGATGGGGTGGATGTTTTCTTCTTGTGGAGTTGAACCAGTACTTTGTATATCCTTGATATCAACCCCTTATCGGATGTGTATTTGGTGAATATCCTTTCCCATTCTGTAGACTGTTTTTGTATTTTGTTCACTGTTTCTTTTGAGGTGCAGAAGCTTCTTAGTTTAAGATAGTCCCATTTGTCTATCTCTGTTTTCACTTGTTTGTCCAGCGGCGTGACATCTTTGAAGATTCCATTAGCTTCAATGTCATGGAGGGTTTTGCCAACTTTTTCCTCAATGTACCTTATGGATTCCAGTCTGATGTTGAGGTCTTTAATCCACTTTGATCTTACTTTTATACATGGAGTTAGGCAGAGATCTGAGTCCACCTAAAGGAACTTTTTAAATACTTCTTGCAAAACTGGTTTCAAGCTCTAAGTCCTTAAGGTGTTGCCTATTCATTAAGTTTTGTACAGTTTTTTCAAATCTGAATGATAATTTAGCTGGATAGAGTATTCTTGGTGAGGTGTTCATTTCATTGTTTGTGCTCTAATCTTCCATAGTCTTCTGGCTCATAGAGTCTTATTTGATAGACCTGCTATACATCTTATGAACTTTCCTTTGTATATATGTTCCTCTTTGATCATGCTGCTTTTAATATTCCATCTTTTTTGTTTTTTATAATTTATTTATTTATTGAATCACTGTGGGAAAAGTTACAAAGCTTTCAGGTTTAGGTCTCAGTCATGCAAATATCAAACACATTTCCCTTTACCAATACTTATTTTTTACCACGAACCCCAATAAAACCCCATCTCCCACCCCTCCCAATGCCTGTGAGGCAGATGAGTTCTAGTTACCACTCTATCTACTTTGACTAGATTCATTGTTTCGATAAAAGATGCACCATTATTATTTAGAGTCTACCCCCCCCCCCAAATCAGACATGGTGAAAAAGCGTTGTGAAATGATTTGCTTTCTACAGCTGGGTTCAAGAATTAAATGTTGTCGTGCGGCCGCAATAGCGACCACGCAGTTTTGGATTTCTGCTATTTTACTTATTAACCCTGGAAGTATTTCTACTAAAAGTCAGATAATTAAGAGATTGGTTTCTGTACTCTGGAGTCGTGGCCGTGCCAGAGAGCCACTCGTGGGGGGCAACTGGTGACCTCGGTAGGGCGTGAAGGACGGGCTGGAATGCCCCCCTTCCCATGAGGTTTTTGTCGCCCCCAGACCCCCGGCTCATACCTGCTGTCCACAAGGCTCCCATGCAGTTACCATCTTTCTTTCCAGAGAGGAGAGGGCAAAGGGAGCAACACCCTTTCCCCTCCAGGCAGGCATGATGGCCTGGATTAACGCATAGTCTGTTCACTTTTCTGCTCCAAGCTGCTGGCTTCTGCATTAAGTCCTTGTGCTTCTGGGGCCGTGGTCGTGCTGGAGAGCCACTCGTGGGGGGCAACTGGTGACCTCGGTAGGGCGTGAAGGACGGGCCGGAACGCCCCCCTTCCCATGAGGTTTTCGTCGCCCCCAGACCCCCGGCTCATACCTGCTGTCCACAAGGCTCCCATGCGGCCGCCATCTTTCCTTAGTATTCCATCTTGATCTTTGGATTTTGAGTACAATGTGTCTTGGAGTTTTCCTAATTGGATCTATTTTCATTGGGACCTTCAGGGCCTCTTGGATCTCTATGTCTGTAATACTTAATTCTGGGAAATTCTTATTGGTGATTTCTTTGTTTCTTCGTCACATTTTCCCTCCTATTCTTCAGAAACTCCAATGCTATTGTTTCCTTGAACCTCTATATTGTTCCTTCTGAACTCATCCTGTAGTTCTCTGGTATGTTGTTCATTTCTGACTATTTCCCACCTTCTGTTTCTTAGTGGTCTCCTCCTCATCTTTGATATATATGTATACATATATATGATATATATATATCTCCTATCATGCTCTTTATTTCTGTCATTTCTGATTGTAGTATTTTTTTCATTTAGATTCTTATGCGTTCTTGTGCTTTGTTACCTGTGCTGTTGTTTCTTTGAGCTTATTGATCATCTTCATCATGGTGTCACTAAAGACATTGTCTTAGGATTTACTGAGCTGGTTGGTGTTATTTATATCTTTAATAATGATATTTTCACTCATTGAACGCCACAACTTCTATATGCGATTTCCCCATTTGGTTTCTCTAGTATTCCATTGTGTAGTGGATGTACCAAAGTTTCTCTAACCAGTCGTCTGTTCTCGGGCATTCAGGTTGTTTCAAGATTCTGGCTATTGTAAACAATGCTGCAATGAACATACAGGTACAGATGTCATTTCTACTGTGCTTTTTTTAACTATTGGGATATATTCCCAGAAGTGGTACTGCGGGGTCATATGGAAGTTCA